AAATAAAAACTTAACAATAATTCACTTACTTCTCACCATGTGCTCTATTAATAAAGTGTGTCTGATAGCCCTGGCCATTTTCATCAGGTTTATTAAATGGTTTACAAATACAAAGACCTTTATTAGGTCCTCCATAAATAAGCCAGCCATCAGAAGTCACAGCTAAAATCGTTGTTTGAAACCAATTCGGCGAGGGGAAAAGTACAGTATCATCCATATTCAATAAAATTTGATAATTATTAATTAATCTTAATTTATCACTTCCAGTAAAACGTATGGCCGATAAAATTAAGAATATTCATACAATGCTGAAATCTGAATCCACTTTTGGGTATTAATCACGATTTCTTATTTAAAATGAACCGGCGTCCGGCACCTAATCTTTCGGTTAAATTTTTATTTTTTTTTAAATTTTATGACCTGGTAACATAGACCTTTAAGTCATAAAATTATATTTTAACGACACAGACCACAATCACACATCTGAGACCACAGTCACAGATTTTGTCAGCACTCACTCACAGATTTAAAGTTTTTCAAGTAGGGAATAGGGATGTGCCGATCGGATCAATCTTTTTGTTGAGAGTATACCTACGAATACTCGATAGATTCTCGCATCGTATAGAATCCATACTAAATTTAAATGTCGGTATTTTACTTTTTGCAGCAGTGTTGGCCTAGCGGCTTCAGCCGGCGACTCTCATCCCGGTCGTAGATTTGATCCCCGGCTGTGCTCCAATGGACTTTCTTTCTATGTGCGCATTTAACATTTGCTCGAACGGTGAAGGAAAACATCGTGAGGGCCGGTTGCACAGGAGGCTGATCACCAACTTGGCTATTTCAGAAATCTGAGGCCCACACCTAAAAAGGGTTGTAGCTCCACTGATTTTTTGAAGTGAAACTTCTTTATCGGGGTTGGAAAAAAATTTAGTGTAACATTTTTGCGTTACGCGTCACATTTTTCCGTTACGCGCCATGTTGCTTTTTGAACTCAAACTTCTTTATCGGCGTTAAAATATGACATATAGTATGTTTTTGACTTTGAAGTTTGACAACGGATTACATTTTAGAAGTCAAACTTCTTTATCGGCGTTAAAATATGACATATAGTATGTTTTTGACTTTGAAGTTTGACAACGGATTACATTTTCGACTTGAAATTTGCTAATCGCAATTTGCAGCAATTAATTTTTAAATTGTATGCTAAGCAGTGTATCAAAATTTACTATGTTTAAAGAAATAGTTTCTAATAAGGTCATAAAGAAGTTTCACTTCTTACGTGTGTACACCTAGTACACGCGCACATTTTTTTTATATTTTACTTTTTACTTAACTTTAACAACAAAAGCCTTAATTTGATGATTTTCTTGATTAAAACCTGTTTGAAGTGTATTTTATATATGACTAACATGTCTTTTGATAGAGATTTGATAGATGTCAGTAGTAGTGAGCGAGCGAGCCACCAGCTGATTAGCGATTATCAGAACGGCTTTCGTCGTGGTCGTTCGGCTGGTGACCTTCTTGTATATCTTACACATAGATGGGCAGAGGCAATTGAGTTCAAGGGGGAGGCGCTAGCGGTTAGTTTGGACATAGCGAAAGTCTTCGATCGGGTGTGGCACAGAGCACTTCTCTCGAAGCTTCCAGCCTATGGGCTTCCCGAGAAATTACGCGATTGGATCTCCAGCTTTCTGGCCGATCGGAGCATCAAGGTCGTCATCGACGGAGCATGTTCCGACCTAAAACCCGTAAACGCTGGGGTCCCACAAGGCTGTGTTCTATCCCCGACCCTATTTCTTCTGCATATCAATGATATGTTGAAACTTAGCAACATTCATTGCTATGCGGATGACAGCACTGGGAATACTTTTTACACTGGCCGGGCAGGTATTTCTCGGGCAGTTGTTGATGAGTACCGGAATAAACTTGTGTCTGAAGTCGAAACTCTACTACGTGGAGTCTCAGATTGGGGCAGACAAAACCTAGTTCAATTTAACCCCAAGAAGACACAAGTTTGCGCGTTTTCCGCTAAAAAACACCCTTTGTCGCTACTCCTCTTTTCGAAAACACTCTTCTTAAAGCCACAGCCAGCATTGAAATACTTGGCGTTGACATATCGAGCGACGTTCAGTTTCGCGGTCACTTGAAGGGAAAGGCTAAATTAGCCTCCAAAAAGCTTGGTGTGCTCAGCAAGGCGAGACGGTACTTCAATCCGGGCCACCGCATGCAACTATATAAAGCGCAAATTCGGCCCCACATGGAGTACTGCTCTCACCTCTGGGCGGGGGCTCCCCAGTACCAGCTCCTTCCACTTGACCGTATACAACGCAGAGCGGTTCGAATCGTCCCTCTCCGACCAATCCCTCTCCGAGCGGCTTGATCCTTTGGCGTTGCGTAGAGATGTGGGGTCACTCTGCATCTTCTATCGCATTTACCATGGAAAGTGTTCAGAGGAGTTGTTCGGATTAATACCTGCAGCTGAGTTTCATCATCGGACGTCGAGGCAGAATACGAAATTCCACCCGTATCACCTCGACGTCCGCCGTTCCACAACTGAGCGTTTTTCAAGGCAGTTTTTGCCGCGCACCACCACTATGTGGAACCAGCTGCCCACTGAAGTATTCCCGAACCAATTCGACTTAGGGTCCTTCAAGAAAAGAGCGTACCAATTCTTAAAAGACCGGCAACGCACTCGCGAGCCCTCTGGCATTGAGAGTGTCCATGGGCGGCGGTATCACTTAACATCAGGTGAGCCTCCTGCCCGTTTGCCCCCCGTTCTATAAAAAAAAAAAAGGGTCCGTGTACTTATGTACGCGCGTAAGAAGTTATACTTCTTTGGCAATATTAAAAATAGTTTGGCTTTGTTCCACCTCCAGTTTTTGATGTTTCACAGCGATAAGATGAAAACTCTTTTTTTGTATTCAATTTAGTGCAGTTACACTGATTCATCAATTGTTTTTTGTCTCTTTTCCTTATATTTGCTAGATAAAATCAGAAAAATTACATGTTTTGATTAAACAATGTGGTTAATTTTTTAATCAAAACATTACTCGATAATAATAATAATACATACGGATAGTTAACCTCAATTGTATTGAAGCACTTAGGAAAGTTGATGAGCACAGTTTTTTCACAAATATTCATTAGTATTGGTTTAAATATTCAATTTAAATCACTTCTGATTATAATTCAAAAAGCATCGCTAAATTTCTTTGAAAAAATAATTAAAACTCCTTTATTTGTTTAAAAGGTAAATGACAAATGTCATTATGGTCATTCAAAATTGTTGGCATACGAACTTCACGCATATTCTATATTCTATTTCTTTTTACTTGTAGATTGTCTTATTCCTATCTCGCTCGCGCACGCTATAATCACACTCCTAATTTTGTGTCACGGGTGCGCGCGCATTGTAAAATTTCACTCTCATAAATTTTTCATAACGCGCCTAAAGAAGTATAACTTCAAAAACTCAAAATGATAAAATGTAACGGCCCGGCGCTCGCCGCTCGCTGACGTGTTCGTTAATGACATGAATTTGGCTCGGCGCGACGTCGAGTATCGAGCTCGTGGCGTGAAAGCCATATGGATCGCCCGTGAATGGCCACCTTTACAAAACTTATTATTTTTCTCTTGTAAAGACTTGTATTGGATTAGTCAAAAACCTGTTTTGGTCATCAGTCTCGAGCTCTGAGTGATTATATTATCCTCTTTTGTTTTGCATATTGTCTTTAGTGTTTTTTGTGTTACTAAAATACGCTTAAACAAGAATGGGTGGTGAAGAAGAGCTACCTGTGCCAGGTACTCCAAAAAAGAAATTAGCCAAAAGAGGAGAGCTTTCTGCAACAGAGAGGAACAAACACAGAGCACAGAAGTATCGTCCCGATTGGAAAAATTAGATTTATTAAGGGATTGGTTAGGGCCCGGTAAAAACCAATTTAAAGCTAGGTGGACTGTTTGTGACGTCGAAATGCTTTCAGAATATGGAGTTTTAAAGTTACACTCTTCAAGGCAAAGGCAGCCACTCATTTTAAATAAAAACTTTCCAGTTTTATATTGTACGATCTTTTCATTTCAAAATTTTTTTCTTTTTTGTAGTTGGTGTACGATCATGCGTTTTTTTCATCTGGACGGACAGGACGCCGAGAAGCCGAGGCTTCAATAAACAATTACTATTTAGATCGGAACTGTCCACAAAAACAAATATTATTTAGATTGGTTAGGTTAGAGTTAGTACATGAATATTTGGTCGCCGAAGGCGACCAGAGAAGCCGAGGCTTCAAGAGGCAGTTACTATTGACGTCGATGTCTTGTCCTCGTACACGCCCGGTCCAAAATCTCGCACTTGGGCAGACTACAACCCGTAAATGGGTTACCCAGGTAAAAAAAAAAAAATTTATTAATTTCCTAACCAAATTTTGTGGTGAAAATGATTACTAGTCACTCCTAACAAAAGATAGACCCGATAATATCAAAATGAACTCATATTTGTCACTGAAATACAAGTCAACAGGGCAAAAGTGTCAACACATCACAGATAGAAATTCCCCCCGAATCAAAAGATATTACTGAAATGTCCAGTTAACTATTCAAAGCTTATTATGAATACTATAATGAATTATGGTAGTAGATAAATTCATAATAATGTACCTATTGTTTCAAATTATTGTAATTTATGTTAAGTTAGTTAGTAATGTTTTTTCAAATTTTTGTTATATTTTTTTTAAAATTGCCAATGGACTTTGCAACCGGCTAATAAATAAATTAAAAAAAAAATTTTTTGAAGTTATGGTAGACCTATAAAGAAACTTATTTGTTGTGAAAGAGGGTCAAGTCAAGTGTCGTATATTGTTAAATTCTTTAAAATACTTTAAACATATATGTAAAATTTTTTACACAATCATTAAAATTAAAATTTTGGGACTTTCTTTTGTTGGTACTGTCCTCGTTGTGGCTACAACAAATTGCCTATATAATTGAATCTAACATCAACAATAATAATGTCGGATTGGGTAAATGAAAATTGTGTTTCTTTTTTCCAATTATTTTGCATAAAAGTTGTAAAAACTGGACGGGTGCCGCAACACATAGCATTTATAATGGACGGAAACCGCCGGTATGCAAAAAAACTTAGCGTGAAAACGAGTGACGGTCATTCTAGGGGATTTGATAAGCTTTCGGAAACATTAAAGGCAAGTATTTAAAAAAAATTACCGTGCACACGATATATTATAACAATTTTAATTTACCAGATTTTAGTTTTAATGACCATTACCAGAAGATAAAGTGCTACTGTAAGCTTTAATGTATATTATTTTTAGTGGTGCCTAGATTTGGGTATACCTGAGGTGACTGTGTATGCCTTTAGTATTGAAAATTTTAAAAGAAGTGATGAAGAAGTAAATGCGCTTATGGATTTAGCACGGGATAAGTTTCAGAGATTACTTGATGCAATGTGAGTTGATTTGTTAATGTGATGTAATTAGTATTTTTACTTCAAAACACAACACTTGAACCAAAACTTCTATGATTCAATTATTTCATTGAAAATATTTCCTTGCTATAATTAAATTCATGGTTAATGTCATTTATAGGGATCAAATAAATGACTGGGGTGTAAGAATACATGTAGCTGGAAGAATGTCACTTTTGCCTTTAGATTTACGTAAAATGGTATCTCAAGCAATGTTAGCAACACTTCATAATAATAAGCTTAGGCTGAACATTGCATATGCTTATACAGGTAAATTATGGCTTATTTTTATAATGAGAAAGCATCTTTGCTAATCTTTCAGTAATACTTTTACCATTGATCTGATCTTGGATTTTTTAATATGAATTTGAAAAGTTATAAATTTTGATGTTTATTCTATTTCTATGGTAAATAAAGTACAATTAGAATAAGCTTGATTTACTAAATAACTAGATAATATTACAAAGGATTGTTTTAGGGCGAGATGAAATAAGCAGGGCTGCATCGCACATTGCTGATGGAGTAAATTATAAGGATATAACAACATATGATATTAATGAGGAACTTGTATCACAGACCTTAGATCTTGGGCCACCAGAACTTCTTATAAGAACATCTGGAGAAGTCAGACTATCAGATTTCATGCTGTGGCAGGTAATATATTTTTGACTACATAAAAACAAAATTTTAAGTATTAGAGTTGTTGTAATCTCATTTCTGAATCTTACCTTTATTGTTATAACTTAAACTTGTCTAGGTTATAAAAGTAAAATCAATTTACAAAAAGAAATCAACCTTTTGATTCACTTACATGACCTAGAAGAGCTCAACCTTCTTACCACTTTAAATACACATTTTATTTTCAGACTGCCAATACGGTTCTTTATTTTTCTGATGCTTTGTGGCCTGAATTTACTGTCTGGAATCTTTTAGTAGCTATTATTCACTTTCAAAGATATGCCCCTCCACCATTACCCCAAAAAGATAACAATGGAAATCAAGATAAATTTCTACAGAAATTGGAAGAAAAAAGGCTACAACAGTTAAAGAATTATATAGTATGTTCATCATAGTCTAGCTATGGTATATACTTATACGTAGTTTTATCACAATGTATGAAACAGAAATATATGATAAGTTATTTATTGCTATTAAGGTATGAGATAGGAATGTTTTTTCCTTTAATTACCACCCAGATAAATAATATATTTAATTTATAAATGAATAATGAATAACAATTTGTAGAACTTAGAATTTATTTAAAATAAATTCAACTCATTATTTACAAGTATGTAGATTAGTTCTAAAATCTTATTATTGATTGCTTTATAAAAGTAATCATTATGAAATAATCCTTTCATATTATTGTAAAATATTTTAAATATGTTGTATGAATATTTCATTTCCCTTTGATGGTATATTTGGAATAAGTTTTTGTAGGGTCGTAGGGTTCCCACCTAGATGCAGGAAATATGTGTTTATTTCTTTCATACCATGACCTGAAATAAAATTAGTGGAAATAAATACTTGTTTTATAACATTAATAATTAATTTATGTCTTATAAATCTTAATTAAAAACTTTTAACAAACCGTAAAAGGACTTTTCCTGCATGTGAATCTTGCTTTTCCTGAGAGGCATCATTCATAAGTCTTATATCATCAGATGCATCAAATTGGAATAAAGGCCCACTTTTACCCCTTGCCTAAAATATTTTTTAGTTGGTAATTAGTATTGATATATATAGTAAACATAACACTACCAATAATATGATGATACTAATAATCAAGCTTTCAAGACGACTCAAAGCTACTACTTACAAATGTTAACACTGTTAAATGTACTTATGCATAGATAGATGATACACAATTCTTACCTTTGTAACGATGAAGTCATAGAAAGTATAGTGATGTGGCAAAATTAAATCCTCCTTCACATACATTAGTTGATCAGCCGATACTGTTTTCAGTTCACTAAACTCTGGTCTTAAAGTGTCTAAGCATCTTTGCAAAAATTGGTATATAGAGTTTCCTGGAATATTTTTTAAATATTATATGCATTTATTATTCTACTATGTGTTGTAAATAATATCCTTATGTGCTAAATAATAATATCTTTTATAATTTACAAACCTTTTTTTAGGGTAACATTTCTTCTATGGCCTGATCCATCCCAGTAACTAAATGTGACAGTTATCGGTTCATCCTTGAGACTGGCTTGAGTCATAACCCACTCTAATCTTAGTTCTTCCCTTAGCTTAAGATCCGCTTCCTCCCTATCTCTATCTGGTAAAAATGATGTATCAACATCTGGGTTCTTACGAATTTTTTTTGCAGGCTGGTAGAAAAAAACAGGAAGATATATTTAATTATAATATTTTTTATAGATTAATAAAAACTTAGTAAGGAACATATTCAATGACACATGTAAGTAGTAAATTTCCTATCTGACATGTGATTTTTTTTTGTTTTTAATTAAACTTATCTTAAGTCACACAGTCACATATAAGTTCAATTGATCCATACTCAGGCAGTCATATTATATTTAAACTAGAAATATGAAATATGCTTTAATGGTACATTTAAAATCTTTTTACTTAACTCAGGGAAGTATGGCTTACAGAACATAAGAATAACAAGGTAATTAGTTACCACTTCGGGTTTTTCCTTCCAATCAACTTCAGGTATTTCTTCTTCTTTGCTATCATCATCATCATCTTCTTCATCATTTATATCAAAAGACAGAGCTTGTATCTGAAATCCAAGGTCTCATAATAAATCATAACAATTATCATGATCGCAAAAAAAAAACACTTATTATTAGTTTGTAACATTACTAAGGATACAAGTCCTTTAGTCAGAATAAATTTCAATATAGTATGAGAATGCCTTTGTATTTAGCGATAACATGTTACCCGATAGATAAATAGAAAATGGTAAGTTTCTGAATTATATGTTGCTATTGCACCGTATAATATTATGTACCTGTCTCTTTTGCTTATTCTTTTGAGCTTGTTTTGCTTCTATTTCTTTTTGTCTCTCCTTTTCCTTTTCGGCTTTCTTCTGGGCAAGTTTTTTTTCTCTTTCACGGACTATGTGTTCTTGTTTAGCTTTCATTTCATCAAGTGTAACAAGTCCTATTGTAGAACTCTTCAATTGCTGTTCCACAGCGTCGTAATGTGTTGCGAATTTATTTTCAATGTTATCAATCTTGAGATCCTCTTCAATTTTCTTCTTTCGGAGTTCGATTTCTTGTTGAGCCTTTTCTCTCTTTTTCATTAAATGCATTGCCCTTCCAGCTTCTGAAGCTGCACCTTTGTAATGAGCCATGATTGTCTTAAAGCAAATAAAACTTTTAGATTCTAAATATCCGAAGGGGATGAAATTTAATTATATTTAAACAAATTTCCAGAAAAATCAACACCACGGCCTACTGTCACTACACACAAACAATGCAATAATTTAAATTTTATGAGCTCACGCCTCACAGCTGACTACTGCAGCTAGAAACTACTGTATTCTGTAAACTGTTGCTTATTGTAGCTGTTAGACGTCAGTTGTGATAATGGGAATTTCCTTGAAATGATAATATAAATTATTAGTCTGTACAAACTTCGAAAATATGGAAGTCTGTGTAATATTCACCTTAATACATCTGTATTCTGTGCTTTATAGTTTTAAAAAAATATATACTTTGACAGATCACAGAATAGTTAAATTTAAACTGTAGATTGTAAGAGATACTAGCGTTTTAAATTTCAATTTTTAGTTTTACTTATAATTAATAACCATAAACCATTGTACAATTATAATAAACAGGAATCACTTATCACTGCACATTTTGATTTAAAAAGGATGAATACTAACTTTAAATTGAAATTAACTGCTTTAGGACATCCTAATCCAGAAACTTTTAATTGCGAAGGTAAGAAAAGCCCATACACAAATGTTTTAACATATTTTAAATTAACACCAATATATAATTTCTATTAAAACTATTTTCACAATATGTTTCATAAGATAACAACAAATACTTTGGACGCAAATAGCTTTTTTATCGGACATCATCATCTTTCATTATAAATTAAAATAAGACACCATTACTGTTTTTAGATGAAAAGGAATATAGAAGTGTAGTGTTATGGTTGGAAGATCAAAAGATTAGACATTATAAGATTGAGGAAAGGGAAGGACTTAGGAATATTGACAGTGGAAACTGGAAAGAAGCTTATGATATTTACCAAAAAGATCTAGTAAGTCCTATGGTGGATGGCACCTTAAATGAACAACTAAATTGGCTTCTTTCTTATGCAGTTAGATTGGAATTCGCTGATAATGGTAACTCATTTCTATAGTATACATAATTACTACACAAGGATTAGATTTCTTAAGATCAATCCAATTTTGTTAATATTAACATGTTATAATATACTATACATATTAAATTGTAAATTTACAAAATATTTTCATCATGGCTGGCATCACTCTTATTGAAAATCTGCTTATTATTTTTTTTGTTGAGTCAATTTACAAATTTAAAAATACATGTGTACACTAATTCTTCAGAGAATAATAATACCTAAAAATAATATCAACCACAGTAAGAAATAAAGACACAGAGAAAGTGGTCATGAAAAAAAGAGCTTATGATTTGCTAGTATAAAGCAAGATTAGGAGAAGCAGGATACATAGGCAGATTATAAATATTTATATGGGTTGTGAGTGCCTTTTTTCTTGAGAGCCTTATGATGGGACTGATGATACTTTCAATAATTATGGTATTATTTGCAGTGAGTAAATACAAGGATGTAAAAGTAGAACAACCAAAACAAGCTGCTCCAAATGTTGTATCTTCTAACCCTTTGGATAACTTAAACTGTAAGTATGAATTATTTTATAAATAAAAATAGACTATAACAGGAAAAATTAACAAAACACATTATAAAGGTAATAAATATACACTAATATGGTAAAATGTATATGTATATTATGTTTGTAGTCAACTGAAATCTGTAAAATGGATGGATCCTGGGGGCTGAGATGGGTGGCATAATATACAGGATTATTCATAATTCAACATAGTCCTGTTATCAAAAAGTCACTCCTATCACATAATATCAGGGGTGACTTTTTGTGATAATTTTAACCCTTATATTATGCAATATGCAAAAATGAACCTTTGAGATATGATATATAAATGATATAAGAAGTGTTTAATCTCTTTATGAAATAGAAGAAAAAACTTGGGTACTGAAAAACATTACGGCGAGTTCATGGGGGGGAGGGTCAATAATCTCCAAAAATTGCGTTACATAATACTTCAACGCTCCCTTTTCCAAATCGAAACAGATAATAAAAACAAATTAATTGCCAATTATCACTATTAAAGTGAAATAGATATTATATAGTACAGGTTATGTGGTACAGTATTTTTAAAAACCAGATTTAAATCTGGTTATAATACCAGTAAATTCTAATTCTTAATATTTTTTCAGTTGACAGTCCCGCTTTCAAAGCTGGTGTCGATAGAGTGTGTACTCTTGCTGGAGTGGGACCTCACCCAGATCCTAAATTCCGCTTGGCAGCTGTAGCCAAGATTCTTAAAAACTCCCCACACCCTGAACCACAATCTGACACCATAGTAATTAATCAACCTGTTGATGTTCTTAATCTATTGTTTATTCAAGATTTAAGAGAGTTACAGACAAAAATTAATGAAGCCTTGGTTGCTGTTCAAACAATTACTGCAGATCCTCGTACTGATACAAAATTAGGAAAAGTCGGTAGATAATTTGGTTCAACATGGACAAAAAAAGAACTTGCATGTTTTACATATATTCATAACAAAAATAATTTATATGTTCATACTAAGAATTAACGATAATAAAAAGTACTGCTTTGTAATTAATTTACAATAAATAAAAAACATTTAAAAACTAAAACTTTTATTTCATCTTACTGACTAAAACAAAATTAATGTAACAATACTACTTCTCATAACATTGTTAATCAACCTTTCAAACAATTTAAACATTCACTACATTAATTAGATAGTTTACTGCATACCACCACCCTTTTCCAACATTTGGGCAAATCTATTGGTAATAAGTAATGAGACATCAATAAATCTTTCAACACAATTTGTAATACAGGTCTCTGTTCTCGAGTCTAATTTTGCTCCCGGTTTATCCACACATTTGTCCCAGCAAAAGTCATTAAACTCGTGTATCTACGACAAGAAGATATGATTAAATAATAATATGTGTAGAAATATCTATATTAATATAGTTTACGTTTGATAAGAAAAGTTTTCTTATGTGGAAAAGACAGTGGCTGAAATACCTGAGCATGAAACTGAGCTTTCTGTTTCTCCGCTAACAAGAAGTCTTGAAGCTCCGAATCAGCACCTTTAGGACTCGAAAAATCTGGCAAGTCTGTCATTGTGTGCCTAATGTGATTATGGATAACGCGATTATATTAGGTTTTGAGTTCCTGTTTGAGACTTTTTAGGTTAGGTTAGACTTGACACTTCGGACCAGTTTTTTTAAATAGTTTATATGTCAGACTTCAGTATAAAACAACCATAGATGATAGAGGTACAAATGATAATCAGTGTTGTTTTTGTAAGTGTAACTCTAAAAAATATTTTAAGTGAAAAGTGAAAACCCCTAAAAATTCACAATTACTTTATAATCCTACTTAAGTAAAACGAAATAATTGTTACACTAATTAAGAATTATAGTTAAATCCCCACATCTTCTATCCCACTGCCTACCTCAATAATACAATCCATAACCAAACTAAGATATTTTATAATTAAGGAGCAAGCTGAAATAAACAAAATTACTATAAATACCTAGTCTTGCCATAAATACTGAAACGAAGAATTTTTTTTTTCTATTGCAAATAACATTTATTACTTTTACAGTGTGTTAGTTTAATACATAAATATAAACGAATTTACAATATAAAAAGCTTATTCGAAGTGGTCTCCATTAGCTGCAATACAGTCCTTTAGACGTTGAGGCCAGTTATCGACAGAAGCACGCACTCTTTGATCTTTCCATGGGAAAATTCGTCACTGCCAATCTTACGGATTGTTTTAGGGACTCCAAATTATCGTGGCATTTAGAGTAAGCCGTACTCTCTAAAACTGACCATAAATCATAATCCAGCTGATTAAGATCGGGACTAGACGACGGCCAGTCTTCAGCTTTGATGCAGTCCGAAACCTTCATTTCTAACCAAGACCGAGCTTTATGACCATGGTCGAAGCACCATTCTTGGTTATTGATCATGGTGTTGTTAAGGGACTTCACTACCTTCTCAAGAATGGTATCTTGATACACTTATGCCGATGTTTTGATACCTTTTCCACAAAAGTATGGCTCTGTCACTCTTTCATAGTTAATATCCCACCAAACCATCACTGAAGTCGCATAGTGCCTATGTTGCGACTTCAGTGATGGTTTGGTGACTAATTGGGTAGCTTCCATTAGAGCTTTGAGCATAAATACAGTCATTTTGTTTGTTAAAATGTTGCTCAATTGTAAAATCTCATCCGTAGGTAAACAACATTTTTCTGTGACCTCCCTTTGCGAGCCGCTTCAGTAGGTATAGGTCTACCAGGATCTGATGGCAAAAAGGGAAAAAAGAAATTGACGCTAGCAATACTGGGGAAATTGGAGTAAAACGTTTTGATACTTTTTTCCTTATAGCGGCTGATTTTGTGTGTGATAGTCTGATTGTGTGAGTCGAATGGGGTTCGAAACTTAGATGAAAACTCAAATTACTCTGTTCATGAGTTTATTAATTAATTAAGAACTTGAAAATGGTGCCAAATACTGCACATCCATAAAAAAGTCTTCATCGGAAGAGGAAGACGTGGAAGACGCAGTATTTATGATAAACCTTTCCTCCTGCATCTCAATTAACCGATCTTGTTCTATGAACTGATTTTCAATTTTTATTATATGTTCACAAGATTTTCGCCATTCATCGATCCCTATTTGAGAGAAAGCTTCTTCTGTTAACGATTTTATATCACTTGCAGGTCTATTGACGTTTTTAGCTGCAACTTTTTGTTTCATTATTCCCCAGATTAACTCTATGGGGTTTAACGTACAATGATATGGTGGGAGCCTCAAGACTTCGTGGCCGTGTGATTTTAAAATCTCATCTATCTGATACTTAGGTTCAGATTTATGATTTTTCACTGCTTCCAGTAATTGACATTTACGCCAATTATCATCGTAAGGGATATTGTTTGATTGAAGCCATTCTTTTATAACAGCAATACGGTCGGCTTGTGTAGGCGGTTTGTTTAATTGTACAGAATGATACTTGGCGTTGTCCATAACAATTAGAGAAGGTTTTCTAAGGTTGGGAATCAACTTCTCCGTAACCCATTTTGTAAAGTTATCTTTATTCATATCATGGTGGTAGTCGGCAGATGTACTCTTCGACCTATACACCAAACAACAGTTTGGCACAAAACCATTTTCTCCACCAGCATGTACAATGATCCATCTTGGCCCTGCCGAAATACTTTTAGATGGGCCTGCAATATCTTTATTTTGCCAGCATTTGTTTACTGAACATGAACCGTGTATGTAGGTTTCATCTAAATAAACCACATCTAGCTTATCATCGGCTTCTCGATTCTTTTGCATACGCTCTAAATACTTGAATCTGTGTATCTTTATGTCATGTCGCTCCATTAAAATAGTCCTTTTTGATTGGCACTTCACGAATTCGAATCCGATGTCTTTCAAAATAAGTCTGAAGACAAAATAAGATTGTTATTTTTAGATTACTATGTTTTTAGATTATATTCAAACTGAAAGAAAATTAAATTCATTTTTGTTACCTTAACGATTCTCTTCTTCCATTGAAATTGATTTCCTCTCGAAGAATTTGTAGCAATTTCATGACAGTGGGTATTTCTTTTCGTACAGTGTAAAACTCATTTATCTTGTTTCTGATCAAAACTAAATCAAAACTATCCAAGTTAATTTGTTTTCTGCCACCTTTCCTCTTTTTACCGGGCGTACTAAATACTCCTCTATTAGATCTGCCTTCAGCAACAATTCGTCTTATGGTAGTATTAGAAACCCCTGAAATAAACCAAAGTTTAGTATAAGAACATAATATAATATTAACGAAAAATCCAATAAACCAAAGTATCAAGAAGTGTCATTCCTACTAACCAGTCAACGCTTGCACATGGTTCAATATCGATGATTGTGTATGTTCTGCACCTTGTTGATCAAGTATTCTTTGATAAACATTGAAAACAATACTTCTTGCTTGCGATCGAAGAGGTTTCTTCGACATTTTCACCACTTTTTAAAGGAAATTTGAAGCCAAAACAAAAACAATTCCTCGAAATTTCAGTTGACAACTGAATTTTTTTTTTGTTGCCATATGAAAATCGCTAATTTTTAAATTTTTTTTTTGCCATCAGATTCTGGTAGACCTATAGTTGTTTCGATTTTACCACCCTATTCTTTTTTAAATTATCAGTTAAGAAATTACCAGTACGTCTCTTATAGGCTATAAGTCCTAAGTCATTTTTTATAATACGCGACATGGTTCTAGGTTCTATCTTCATCTCCCGAGATAAAATATTTTGCTTTCTCTCTGCTGCTCCGTAGTATAGTACTCTAAAAAATACACAGCCGACGTAATTATTTATCCCATATAAAAATATTATATTATCCCTATATATGAGAGGAAAACCGCCAAGTTGGTAACACTGGATATTCAAAAACAGTATCTACTGTTTACGATAAAACAATAAATTATTTAAAATGTAATGAAGAAAGTTTGTCATAACTGTTAAAGCCTCTCCACATTGAACATTCCCGGCAAAACTAAACGAGACTTGCCGAATACCGGAGTGTAGAGAAAGTATTCGCCTATATTCGTGTTATCTCGTGTATACAACTACAGCAGCAGCAGATAATCAAAGAAAATTTCAACTGAACAATTCGGTAATGTAGAGAGCCGCTCTCGTGTGCTCTCGCCAGTGCTTGACGCTTGTATTCTACAAAAGTTAGACCTCTCGGTAACCTCTGGGAATGTGGAGCACCTGTATTTTATTCTCAAATATATTTACCCACTTTTAAAAATCAAAGTACACGTCTTTTATAAAATTGTTATTTGTCTCTGCGGGTTGGGTTTGAGTCAAAGGCACCTGAATTTGATGATACTGATTGTGCAGGAGTCTCGGGGACCCTTGATTGGAACACCTCCAAGTGATTTTAGCTTTCGGATAGGCGTCAACTTAAATATTTCATTAGTGCCTGTGCACTTGAACCCCACGGCTCAAAAGTCTCTACTCCAGAGGGAACAAAATCGAAGTTGGAGGAAAGACTCTTATATTTGAGCTGCGTATTATTTTCCGCCTACTCTGCTGCCGTCCCAGCTTTTTTGCTTGTCAGAGGGAGGTGAGACAGGGAAAACGTGTCCACACAAGTAGCATCCCATACCATCCTCCAAGGGATCAACGACATGTATTGGGAATGTCGTTGTTGGATTTGCTTTGATGGCTCGTATTTCGTGCGCTCTTTCTAGATTCCTGTATGTATCGACACTAAATCTCACCCTTGGTGCAGATTCAGAGTCTGCAAACTACTTTAAGTTCTTGAGAGAAACATATTTTTTAAAATTAAATTAAAAAGAAAATTATTTTTTAAATTTATTTCTATGACATACACTCTAAACCATTTTTGTTAATAAAATTTAAAATCTTCTCTTTGATGGATTTTTTTTCTTCATCGGCAAACACATAATCCACCGCATTGGATGCCAATTTAGCTAATTGAGGTGGTTGGAGACCAAACACGTCCGCACATATTCTGTATTCTTGAGACAAAGATGTAGAAAAGACTCCCTTATCATCAGTCTGAAAAGTAAAAGTATTTGCTAAAGTAATGTATTGTTACCAGATTAAAAAATATAAGTAAGCTGAAAAGGTATGCTATGGTACCTGGTAAAGAAATGGCTAAGTATATAAATCTATCATAGAAAAAATACATAGGTATTATGGCAATTTTTTGAACGAAAGACACTTACACATATGATTACTGGAATATTTGCATTGTATAGTTCTTTAAAATGGTGTGAATTGTAATCCAAAGTTGACTTGGTATTGACATTGCTAGTAAGACAAATTTCTGAAAAAATATTAATTTTAAAATTATTAGTTGAAGTGTAAATATTTAATTTTATTAACTATTTATATATTCATCAGTTTATCTCACAGATGATTTAAAGAATTAATAGTTAAATTGTAATGTTAATGAAAAATGAGATAGTTACCAACAGGTATTTGAAATTTACACAGAGCATCCCATGTTTCTTGTGTACCACCAAAGTTTGGGTGTATACAAACTCCATGGCCAATACGGTCTGGGCGAAATCTTAACATTTCCAGTACCTCTTTGGGGTTGCATACTTCACCACAATGTAGAGTTATCTGTAACATTTATCATAAAAGAAGCTGCATTAAATTGAAATAAAAGTTTTGATATACAGTACAGCACTGAAAATACATCTGTTTTACACTGATTATACCTACTATACAAAGTCATTATTAATAGCAAAAACTTATTTACTTTTAAACCAGCACATCTAGCTTTTGTCAAAGAAGGCACAAAGTCTTCGAATTGACCTATATTGGGGTCTCCACTTAATTCAATACCCACAATAACATCAGGATATTGTTTGTAACAACTGATAGTTAATTCTGATATAGCTTCTGCTTCTTTAATTGAACTGTTTCTATTTATAGATACAATAAGTCTAGATTTGATTGGGAGATGTGCATTGCTTCTGTAATAAATATAAAATGTTGTTTTGATGAGGCATTTCATTGAGAATTTTGGTGTGTGAATATATTTATGAAAATTACCTTAATGTCTCAGAAACAGTTTCGATATATTGTCTGCTTGTCATGAATGGTGTCTCTTTAGGTGTACTTCTCAATTCAATATAACAGCAACCATCATCTTGAAATTCTTTTAGAGTTAGTGTTGTGGCTAAAGCCAAACTTCCTGGAGTTCTAGTGAGCCGATGAGCTATGTTGAAAACTTGAAAGCAACTAGAGAATGAAATTTAATTAAATTGAAAAAAAATATTTATGCATATCTAAGATTTCAGAGTATTTCTCATTTTCAAGGGCTTTCATTATTTATAATAAAACTGTAGTACTGTATAGTATATGTGAATATGTGTCACAGCCACAGACTCTAATTAATTATAACATAATATTTTTCATGCACTCTTACTCTGATAAGTTCCGAGTGTCTCCAGCACCAATTTGAAATTCATCCAAAAAAGCATCAGATGTGTCGGTAACACCGGTATCGGCATTGAATCTTTTAAGTTCAAGCAATGTACTCCGGCTTAAAGACCCATTTAAATGAGCGTGTAACTCCTAAAATTTTTTATTGTAAATAATAAAATTTTATGGGGCAATAATAAATGATATAATTATAACTTACAACTTTAGGCATTGCCGGGCAGAGTTTATTGAAGTCCATCATAAATATATAGCGAGTTGTTGTAGATAGAACAGCAGTTGGCTAGAGAAGTAATTGTTTCATAAATAAAAGGAATATTGATGTTATCCAGTAATAAAGTTTTAAAACCATAGCAAATGCAGTAAATTGATACTTGACTGCTAAGTGTGGGCAGTACTCAGAGGTCCCGCTTTGTCTTAAAAAACCAAATATTAAAACTTAAACTTAATTTTACAAAATGGAGTATTCTAAATAATTATTAATAGAGATATACTGATAAATTTATCAAAGTTTGGTCTGTGTATAATGTAATCCCATGGGATACTGCGTAGTTACGAATTAAAATTGTGGTAATCAAGCAAACCCTCAATGAAAAGAATTAAATTTAAGGTATATTTATTACAATTTTTATGAACTACCAATCGATTAATTGTTTATCAAACATTCAGAAATCGTGTATTATATAGAAATAATTTTAAAAAATCGCACTTCGTGTTTGTTAATTTTAGCGTATATTTTACTTATTAGTTACGTACTTACGTAGTGATTAAATGATTCAATAAAATCTTTGGTTTTATTGTAAAATGTAAAAATATTAGTTATTTTATAGTACTGTCGTATTTTTTCGTAGTGTAGTCTTTGTAGTTTGTACTTTGTCGTAAAGTCGCGGACGTTGTTAGTTCCTTCTTAGTGAAAAAAATAAAAAAAAGCGCATATAGTTACCTGAGTGTACAAATTTAAGTTATTTTTAAATAATTAGTAGGGATCACTTCATTTATTCATTTTTGGTTTTGGTAAGTACTAAGTAGGTATGTAAAAAAATATTTTTTATGAAACTTATTATATTTTTGTTACAAGCTTTGAAGTTTGAATGGATTACAGATTGAGCCATAGAGTATACTAGACTACGGGTACAGATTTGTACTATTAGCCAATTATAGTTTATTCAGTAAAAATACTTGTATTTAATACCAAAGTAAAAAGAAGGAACGAAAACAGTAACGTATAAGGGATCGGCTCCTAAGCGTGGACAAATTTTATAACCAATTTCGGTCACATCAGCAAATCGACTGAGAAGTGAGAAGTGAGAGGTCAAAAGGTAAGCATGGCACGGCAAGGGATGGCCCGCGCGAGGTCTCTTGCCTACTATGGCGATATTTATATTACACAGAAAAGCGTAACACAAAACAGCAACATCTCTTGTAAAAATTGTCAATGGGATCCATTTTATTTTTACTACATACAATTTGTTGTTCGTTGTGAAAACGAATAAACATTATTGTGACCAAACGGCTTAACAGATTTAATTCAAATTTTGCCTGTCGTTTAAGATCGTTGATCGTTGAATTTATCATGGAAACGAAATAGCCTACACTACATATTATTGTATAATAATCTAATTATTTTTTTACAGATTAAAATGTTTAGTTTATTTCGTTTAAAGCTACGTTTACAACCATTCACCATCATTACATTACATGCTTTTCCATTTAAGAATATTTACGTTATCTTTGTTTACAAATTTTTAAATAACTTGGTAGGTTTATCAAATGATTTAAGGCAAGTGAATTTATTTTCTCTTTCTCTTGAAAGAGAAAATAAATTCACTTGAATAAAAAAAAAGCGCCACCAAAAGTCTATGTATCTAACTAGTCAGCCCATAAGTTCTGTTACAAATGAAAATGCATTTTTTTCAACTTTTTAATTATTTTGAATTTGGAGCACGTATATTATTTTAAAAACTTCTTTCGATTTTGCGCCATTTCGCATATATTTTCGTGTTAATGTACCACATTACAATGGAATGGGGTGTTAAAGAAAATAAGATTGCAGTGATCGCCTTATACAAAGTGGGTATGGAGCCGTCGGTATAACACACAACAGATACGACAACACTTCGTCTGTCGAAGACCAGAAAAGATCGGGGCGGGCGCGTGCCTTTAGAAACAAAGGCTGTTAATGTTGTTAAAGCCAGAATTCGTCGAAACCCCTTAGGAAGCAAAAAATCTCATCGCGAGATATGAAGATTCCCGCTAGGACTCTGTCGCGTATCTATTATAAAATAAGACCTGAAGCTTGGTACTTATCGTCGATATACAGGACATGCCCTAAATCAATCTTTACAATTAAAGAGAGTGGATCGATCATAACGCGTTCTGTCGCAATAAGCACAAAAATATCCTCTTTACCGATGAAAAAATTTTCACGATTGAAGAACACTACAATGAGCAAAATGATAATGTGTACGCTCTCAGTTCTAAAGAAGCTGCTCAAGTGGTCGGACAGGTACAACGTGGTCATCATCCTGCGTCAGTGGTGCTTTCGTGGGGCGTGTTTTATTAAGGAGTCACAAAACTAAATTTTTATGAAAAAGGAGTGAAAACTTCAGCCAAAGTGAATCAAGATACAGTCTTGGATCATGTTGTCAAACCTCTTACACTCACTTTTTAAAAATATATCTTGGATTTTCCAGCAGGATTCTGCACCTGCACAACAACAACAAATTTAAAAAAAATACGAAAGATCAAGGCACAAGGCAACCATGAACCAACGCTCCGGACTTTATACGAGATGAAGACTGGCCCTCATCTAGCCCAGACTTCAAGCATTTAGACTTCAAATTATGGTCAGTTTTAGAGGACATGGCCTGCTCTAAACGACCTGGCGACATTGTGTCTCTTAAAGAATCTTTGGAGCAAGCAATAGCAAAATTTCCTTTGGAAACAAACAACGTAAATATATAGATTCGTGGGCAAACAGATATGTAGGTATAAATTTTAATAATATTACATTACTACATTAAAAAATATTCATTTTCATTTGTAACAGAACTTACGGCTGGATTAGGTACATTAGGTATTTGGTTTGACACACGGACTTCTACCCTTCCTTCACATATAAGAGCGCGGCCACACGATGCGGTAACTGTGCGGTGCGGCGCCGCATCGCAATTACTTCAAGCTATAGGGTGCCACACGGGCGTGGCGGTGTGGCAATATAGTCCATTGAAAAGTTACATTTGGGGTTGCGTTTTTTAGAGGACGCAATTTTATTTATGGAACATGTAGGGGGGGTCAATACAAGCTTAACTCCAAGTTTGTGGGGTTGGCGTGCTTGTACCCCGGCCGCCATCTTGGATAAAGGGGTCCAAAAACCACGTTTTTGGCTATATCTCCTAAACTATCAATCGTACATAAAACTTGTAAAGACACATTTTGTAGCAAATCGCTGTGTCTACGATTTGTCTATGTAACTTTTTATCATAAATCCAAAATTCAAAAAGTTATAAGTAAAAAAGTGAAAATATTTCCTATTTCTAAAGTTGACTAGGTGCGTCAATGCTCATGACAAGCCGATCAAAACAGCAGTTTTACCTTACTTTTAAGATCTCTCGTTTATTTTAAACAAATTTTCTAAATCATTTTTTTTATTTTTTTTTATTCCTACAATTTTACTTATTGGTATTCCTAGTAGGCCTATTCCACAGACAACTTGCTGATATGGTAATCTTCGACATAATTAAAGAGACGACATAAAGAGACATAATTGTAGACACAGCGATTTGCTACAAAATGTGTCATTACAAGTTTTATGTACGATGGATAGTTTAGGAGATATAGCCAAAAACTTGGTTTTTGGACCCCTTTTTCCAAGATGGCGGCCGGGGACAAGCACGCCAACCCCACAAACTTGAGGTTAAGCTTGTATTGACCGCCCCTACAGTTCCCATAAATAACATTGCGTCCTCTAACAAATGTTAAGTTTGGCCCTCAAATTGTAACATTTCAATGGACTATCGGAGCGCTGTAAAACCTTAGCTATTAACTTAATGAAAAAATGATGCAAATAAAAGTTGTTCCTAAAAAAACGATCTACAAAAAAGGTCTGATATTATTTTTTCGTAAAATGTTAAAAAAAGAAGTTATATCGAAAAATATAAATTTTTTTCTCGAATTTCTGAAGATTTTCGCTTATAACTTTTTTATTTATAGTTTTACGATAAAAAGTTACTGGACCAAAGTTGTAGAGAATTTAATTTGCAACAAAAAATGTTAACAAATTTTTTTTATCAAATAAATAGTTTAAGAGATATATCATAAAAACCGTTTCAACCACTATTTTCAAGATGGCGGCCGTGGGACAAGGGTGGCGACCCCACAAACTTGGTTTTAGCTTTACACTGACCCCCCCTACACATCAAAAAAATAAAATTGCGTCCTCTAAAAAACGCAAGGTTAGGCCTAAAAAATGTAACATTTCAATGGACTAATATATTTTACAGCTCCCCGCCTCGTTCACAAGGCATCCGCAACGCATAAGAATTCCTATTACATAACGCCATAGCGGTAAATATTTAGATGGTGGTTTGTGTCGCTATTAGTAACCGTAACAATTATCCCTACGCTTATACTTCTACTTCTTTCGATTTGGTTGCCACACCAACATCAGTCCTTTTTTGACCAACGTCGGTTGTATTGCTCTACTAAGTATATGCTCATCTGCAGTAAACGACGCTTTGAGTACATTCCATTTTATGACACTCTCCATGTTTTCAGGCGTAACTTACGCCGCATAAGATGCTGCAGCCACTGTTCTCCCGTCACCAATAATAAAAAATTCAAACTAGAAATATACCTATAAATTGTTCAAAAATTGCATATTCGTATTTCTTTATCTAGTTTTCATTGTCATTGATGCACATGCATGTATTGTGTTTTGGTATATCGTGTGTTCTCTGTAAGTGTTTGTATGTATTTCGTTGGTGTGCCTTTCTAAAATAAATAAATAAAATTTATATAAGCAGATTTCACTCATCAAAAGTTTTTAACGACTTAACAATTAATCCTGCTGCTTTACATAGCAAAACAAAAATAAATAAAGTAAAAGATGAAATTAAATTTAAGGAATTTATTATTAAGTTTGTTATAGAAGAGCTGGGAACCCTGTCACAGGTGTTTTTTTACTTAAAAGGGTCCCAAATCTTACTCATTGTATTCTGCATATGCACTTATAATGAATAAACACATTTTTTAGTAAAGAAACGTAAGCAGTATGATATGTAAAAAAAGTCAAGAAAATTTACATATATATTGATGACATCATCAAAAACAAACATCAAAACTTCATCGCAAACTCTTCTACATGTACTTAATAGTTAGAATTATAGACATAAAATATGAGACATTACCAATAATGTTATGAAAACATATTACTCTCAATAACTTTGAGTTTTTATTAATGTATTAGATATAAAGTATAACCATTGGAATATACGAAGTATAATTATAACTACCGCTTCTATGCAAAAAAAAATAATTATAACTAAGCTTCTATGTAAAATCTTCCAATCAATAAAGTAAAGGTACACGAAAAATACATACTAAAATATCAGATGTTTCAATGTATGTTAAATGAAACTCTTTGTTTGATGCTGGGTGTCAACTGACTTTAATTGTTGAAACTTGAAAGCATGATCTTATAACATACATAAACTTAGGGGTAGTGGGGTTGCGACTTGCGACGCTAATAAAAAACTGACTTAGCTTATTTAAAGGTTTCTGTAACCTAAGTGACACTTCAATATAAGTGTAGTCGATCTTTTTGAAAATTGTCGGGAACAAGAATGTTATTCCTATTACAATTTATGAGTGTGGGAAAAACTAATGGATTCATTTTAGCTTCAAGTGTGCGATAATTGCTAACATTTGATTTGCTCTTCTAATTATTAACTAATATACATATATGTAACTATTGTTAGGTTACATAACTCGTGTTGTACATTATTTTTTTATGACGCACAAATATAGATTACAACCCAATGGTTAAGAATTTAAATTTATCAAACATACCTAATAATGTATATTTTTTACAGAATTAACTTGCTCACTTTATTATTTAGATAAACACTTTTATGTTTTAGCTCAAATCGTTATCATGTTTCTAAAGGAAATAATTTTATTATGGTTGGGTATAAACAATATTCACGCCCACCCAAACCATCCAGTTGTTATTAATACTTGGGCGTTTGTAAACTCTTCTATTGGAGGTAAGATTTGTTAATGTATTTTAGATTTTTTTAAATTAAATTGCGTTTTATAATTCCTTCTAAGCGATATTAATTTGTATATTATTGATTATTGATCCGCGAATATACATTTTTAGCTTGGAATGTATTGGAAAAGGGTGGGTCGTCGCTGGATGCAATTGAAATTGGAGGAGGTGTTTGTGAAAGCCAGCAATGTGATGGTACTGTCGGATATGGAGGAAGCCCTGATGAGGATGGCGAAACTACGCTTGATGCGCTTCTCATGAACGGGTAAACAAAAACATAATTATGTATTTTACTAATTTAAAGCCCACTGAAATCTGTTCATCACCAAATTTTAAAATACTTTTTTGAATCCAAAATAATTCTAACTATATAAACTTAACTTATTATAACTTAAATAATAAAGTGTATATTTTTTACAGAAAAACTATGAAAGTAGGCGCAGTCGGTTCTCTGCGTCGAGTGAAAAATGCTATATCCGTTGCGCGACATGTTTTAGAATATACGAAACATTCTATTTTAGTCGGAGATCTTGCTACCAAATTTGCAGTTCAAATGGGATTTAAAGAAGAATCTCTTACTACACAGCAATCAAAGAATATTTGGATGAAATGGCGCAATGAAAATAACTGTCAACCCAATTTCTGGATGGTAAATAGCACTAAAAAATTATGCCGACAATTAAGTTCGGTGGCGGTTGTTGTATGGAGATGTTTCTTTGTTTGAAGCTGGGTAACAACTGACTTTAATGGTTTAAAATATGAGCTTATAACTAACACAAAATTAGGGGAAGAGGGGTTGCGACCCTAACAAAAACAAACTTGGCTTATCTAAGGGTTCATAAATCTAAATGACACCTATGTTATTGAACATTATCGGAAACGAGAATGTTAAAATACAATTTATAAGTGTGGTAAAAACTAAAGGGCTCAATATTGGCTTCAAGTGTACGATGATGGTTTACGCTTCTAATTATTACCTAAAATATTTATATGTAACTTAACTAAAGTTAGGTTACTTAACTCGACTAAGATGATTTTATTAATGCTCTGTTATCAGTAGGTCTAATCAAAAATCCGTGAACTTTTCCGATTTCAGACAGCGTTATTTTACCAAAATTCTATTTATTCATTAATTAAATTATTTCTTAGCTATTCATTATGTAAACTCTCAGTTTTAAAAACATAGTTAATACTTACATATAAATTAAATATATATGTAAGGTTTGTATTAAATAAGTAATTTTATTTTGAAATCAATTCTTTTTAAGCGCTTTTGTTGTCTGACAGTGATATTAAGTTATTATTCGATATGTGCAAATATCTAAAATGTTTTATTAATCTAGGATGTCATTCCTGATGCAAAACAATTTTGTGGACCATATCAACCAAAGGAACGATCACATCAGAAATCTAATACGATTAAGGGAGATAGATTTAATCATGACACTATTGGCTTGGTAGCTATTGATAAAAATGGCGATATAGCTGCTGGTACAACTACTAATGGGGCTAAATACAAAATTCCTGGGTATGAATTAACTATAATTTTAATACAATTGCAGTCCCCCGTAGTTTAACCCGTCTTAATTTAAGAACCGTGCACATAAATGGGCGCGTTGTACGTGACTGTTTTATAATGTCGCAACATTAACAGATATGTACCTACATGTCGCAGCCAACTAGCTTAATAAGCCGCCGACAGCCAACAGGCTAGGCAAGTAGATAATAAAACGTCATTAATCCATGTCATTTGCCTAGCTGTTTGATCAACAGGCTATAATATTTCAGGCCGCTAGTTAAACGGCGCTGTTTGGTTAAAAGGCTAGGCTAGGCCTTTAATTGAACGGCTTATTGAGCTAGTTGGCGACATACATACATTATTATGCTGTCACTTTTAGACGTTTAAATAACTCCGTCAAACATGAGTTTTCGATAACTTGAACCGTTTACGCTACGGAAGATCTCCAAAAAGAAAATTTTGACGTTTTTACATCATTTTTCATGGCTTTTTTTATGTCGATGCGTTCAGGCAGAGTTTTTATATTATTAGTGTAGATATTGATACACTTTGTACATATTTCACTGTATTTTTTTAGAGCTGTAAGTATGCTTAAGTTTAATAACATCTTATCTATCTTCTTCAGTCTTCTTCTATTCATCTAGTTTAATTATTTATACTAAGTATTGCGAATGTTAAGAATATAGTAAATAAGTACTCTATATTTGTGTGTTATGAATTAAGTAAACTATCTATCTGTTAATATATTTTATTACAGGAGAATTGGTGATTCTCCTATTCCTGGATCTGGAGCATATGCTGATAACGAAGTTGGAGGGGCTGCCGCGACTGGTGATGGGGACGTTATGCTAAGATTTGTTCCTAGGTATATTTTACAGTATATCAGATGCTCCTTTTATGTTATTTATACAACATAGTATCATAAGTATACGTGTAATTTTAGTTTTTTGGCAGTAGAAGAAATGCGAAGAGGGGCAACACCAACAGAAGCTGCAACAATTGCTATTAAAAGAATAGCAAAATATTATCCCAACTATATGGGTGCAGTCGTGGCGTTGAGGAAGGATGGGGAATACGGAGCAGCTTGTCACGGTTTGGGTGATAAGCCATTTCCATTCGTCGTTCGCGATACTTCCATGGACAAATCCAAAATGGTTTTTATTGAATGTCCTTAATTATATTATATGGTACACAAATAATTCAAATAAACATTTCCTTTTAAATATTGATTTTATTTAATTCGTGCCTCGGAAATTTAGTTATCAAAAATAATGTCGATGAATAACATTTACTCTCAATAATGTTAACGGAACCTGCAATAAACCAACTCTTAAAACTTTCATAACTCTGAATTAAATGTTGTCCTTTTTACCCAATTTCGCTAGAGTTCATACAATAGAAAAATTTAAAGTTCGTTTTATAAGTATAGTAAGTAGGTAGGTACGTAGCGCGCTGACTTTACAAACTCATCGCAAGATTGGGAAATATATCAAATACAAAAATATTGAAGTCGAGATCGCTATTATAGGAGAGGACAATACTCTGTAATTGGCACAGATGATATTTCCATATAAAAAGTAAGTTAATTAATTTAAGACGGATTATCGGTTAATAAAGCCAAATAAAACTAGTAACGACACATTATATTACGTTGATTTACTTTATATCATTCATTCAACAATAGAGTAATGAAAAGAAACAAATAATTATGAAAAAATAAATGACTTTTATCAATGTTTATCTTGGTTTAATTTACGTAGGTTGGATGTAGTTTGAATCTGGACTAGTATTTATATCAATAAAATTAAATTATCCCTTCATATATATTATATCCGTTACGAATAAAATTAAAATAGCCTTTATTTGGGTAATACTAAGTCCATTTCATTATATTTTACGTTTAATTTAACTCCACTCCGTCGGGACAAAGTGAAGGCCTCCTCCAAATTCTTCCACTTGTCTTTTATTGAAAGTTTCTATTACAAATAATGATTATAATTATTATAAACTTTATAACTTCGCAAATCTTAAGTAGAATTTATTCAAAATATTACGTTCAAACGTCTTTCAACATTTATATCGGTTAAATTACCTCGTGATCAAGATATTTTATAGTCATCCTTTTTAAACATAAAAAAAAGTTCTTAGGGTTTATAAAATTACCATATATTTTGAATCAATTATAATACTAAGTTATAAGGTTTTTAAGTAAAATTTTTCTTTCATTTTATTTTTACAGGCTATTCAGGTTTATTTTATTACGAATGAAAATGAATGTCTCGCATAAATCATATTTATATTAAGAGAAACACTATTTGTCTTCATAATTTTTTATTTATTAACTTATTATTACTTCTATGGTAAAAATCACCAGACAAAATGCTTTGATACACCAATTTATCAACAGACTTGTTAAGAACCTCAATATTGTCTTTCACTAAAAACAATTTATAATAATTATCTTTTAGAAGAAATGCTAAGTTTGGAAATTAATATTATATTGCATTGTAATAGTGTCTGGCAAAACTATGTTCTATCCATGTGTATAATAGGTTAGTTTCTCTGGTCTATGTCTAGTATTTGCCATCTTTTTAGGCGAGTTACATCTCCTGGAGTTAAAAGATTGTTGGCCATTTCATTTGTATGTTTGTTTAACCTTTGGTTTTGTTGGCATCTTCAGATGAACTAGATGAACCAGACCAGAGAAACTAACCTAAAATAAAAATCCAGTTTTAACAACACATACGGTGCCTTCAATGGAATTGCACCCAACCCAAATTAACCTCAGAAAATATCTGATTATGGCTGATAGCCGATTGCGAGAACACAAAAAAAATGTGTATAATAAAACAGGTAAACCAATAAAAAGCGAATTTATTAATTAGATTATGGGATATTGGCAAGGTAATCTTTAACATGTGCTGGGTCCAGTCTGCGAAAACCGGCTGGATCACATATACCAATTTCAATGTTGTCTGCCGTCATTTGACCTTCAAAACCTTCTTTTAGAGTTAATATTGCTGTGTGAACCGCATCATCTAATTCTAAATCCTCTGTATATCTGCAAATAACCATATATTCAGTCTAAATATGGGTCTTAAAACCTTGACAAGTGTTTTGTGAAAAATGTGGCAGTTTGAATTATTGCTTTGTTTATTTATTTATTATTTTGCTTGTTTACCTTTTCTCTAAGAAAGTCTTTCCATTGTTGAAGTTTTTGCCCATTGCAGTTGCCTTCCATGCAAAATAGGCCCCAGATGGGTCACATTGGAAAAGGTATGGCCGGTCACCATCCCAACCACAAATTAGGAGAGACACTCCAAAGGGACGTACACCTCTGAAGACACATAATTATTGATTACATCAGTTCAAACTCTATGATGACATTTCAATTTACTGTCACGTTATAAGAATTTTTTCAATCTAAAATGATATACAATCACTGAAGAAGCTGAATAACCTTACACTACATGTATTGTATCGTACTAAAGTACACAGAAAGAAAGTTTTAAACTCTACAGTACACGAAGAAGTTTCACTTCTGACATGTGTACTTTGTATGCACACACTTTTTTTATGTACTTTAAATTTGATTATGATTTAGATGAAATTTATTGAGGAACATCAATTAATTTTGATACAATTTTATAGCATATTCCTATTAAATTAAAATAACAAATCAATACAGTCAAAGAACAGCCTATGAAACAGAAGACCATGGTACTATCATATAGTTTTGTTATTTTTCATAAATTTAGTTCTCAGAGCTTACCCGGACTGTGTATACTCCTGCATTACAGTAGCCAACCGCTGTACTAGTTGAGCTGTGGGTATTGGCTCATGGTACATGAGATAATACTGCTGAGCCATCTTACGAGCCTGTGTAACAAGGAGGCGGTAGTCTGGACCCATACCCGAGTAAACCATGCCTGAAATTGATAAAAGCTTATGAAGGTTCTCTCTACAATCCACAACATTTATCACAACACAGTAAATAACATCTCTTAAGGAATGTGGTGTAGATTTTTAAATCTTAATAGAGTTATGTATTCACATTTTCTTATTCAATTATGATAATAAACAGTTAATAAAAAAAAAGACAGTGCCATGCACAGAAGTCTTAATCACCTCAAAGTGAATAAAAAAAAATTAAAGGAAATAGAATCTTCTTCACATTTGAGGCCATAACCAATGATTCTAGCACCACTGGTTTTTTGTACAAATGTTTCATCAACTAATAGATATAATGTTACATGAGATTATCAAAAAATTACTTACCAATATGGCCAGTAATCATCTCAACTTTGTTAACACTATGTTCATCATATAAAATGCTCTTATGTTTATTTTCTGTTGCGATTACAACTCCATTTGATGCTGAAATATCAAAAATATATAATCTAATTATAAACAACTCTATCCAGTACAATGGAAATTTGTTACACAAACATTTCTTTCTAATAATCATATTGATATACTTTAAATTAGAATAATGCAATATTCTCTTCTATCTACTACATAAACTTATCATAATGTAAGCCTCTTGATTATTTATTACTATAGCAGATAGGTCATACAAAGAACATGATTTATTTTACCCTATATTTCTATGATATTAACATTCTAACATGAAACAATAGGATTTCTAGGTTTCTTAAGTTTTAATTCAATATGTTTCGCTTAGAGGTTTGAGAGACCAAAAACAGAAGTATGTATGTCTAGAAGGAAAAGATGAGTTTCTTAAAACTAGTAATTTAACGTTCGGTTTCTAGGATACACTATTTTATAACCTAAATTAAGATGTGTACCTTTAATTCCGACGGAGGTTCCGCCAGCGGCAACAGCTGCTAACGCATATTCGATTTGCACCAACTTTCCTGAAGGGCTGAAAAATAACAGTGACTTTATGTATTATTTTTATAGTCATGACAGTGCAAGACTGTAACTTTTATTTATTAAAGAATATAGTTATATTCATATATAATGTTAATGTGTTATATGCAAACATAACAAATACTGCGAATTATATACAAATTCAAGCCATACATGGCGTAATAACACAATTACATACCTAAAAGTTGTAAGAGAAAAACTGTATCGTTCAGACGCCATGATTACAAAGCGAATTGTCAACTTTTAGCAATAAAACATTGTCATCCCTTACGACAATTAACAACGTTAAAACGTTCAGAAATAGTATAGAAAACAGAGTCAGAGATGTTTGAAACTAATAATTTAAAATATTATTTAACATTATAATTTATAACGTTTTACTATAACGTTATAATATTAAGTGATATTCGTTTTTCAATATTTAAATGAGTATATATTGAAAAACGTCCTGACTTGGACTTTCTAAATAAAAATATAATGTATGATGATTTTCATCTGAAATATTTGTTTTTAAATCTACAGAATACCTGTCGCATTTTTATTCAAGTTTTAAGCGTCTAATGTCGTCGTTTTAACAAGATTAGAATCGCGTAAATAATTGAAATTTCCGAAAAATTGTAGGTAGGTACGTCATCAACAGATCATCATGTTCCTATATTTTATTTTTATTATAAAATATGATTAATTAAAATGTTAATTTTATTTGGCTCTGAAAAAGTTTCGCATATTATTATAGCAATAATTGACTTTGGCAAAATTTTCACAGAACTTTACCAAATTTTAAATAAGGCTTGTTGGCAACCCTAATAATTGAAAACGAATTGGTGATCAAGAATCTGCCATTTTGAATTTGATCGTCATATCTTGTTCACGCATCTACGTAAGTAAACCTCAAATAAAATAATATTTTAATTTTGGATTCAATAGAGAACTATTATAAATTAATAAAATTCTAATCTTATACTTACTGTATTGCTTATTATCAAGTGCTTGAATTTTAAAAGGTAAATTTATTGGTTACCTTACAAATAGCCACGTGCTTATTTATATGATGAGAAATTGTAAATTAATTCATTCGTGGTATCTACCATAGTGTTTACACAGTGATGGCTTTTATGCGTCTGATAAATTAAGCATATGATAACGTAACAACCGTTATTTGCTTTAGGCTATAGCGCATGTTTTTTGTTTTTACAGAATGGCGGACGCAGCTCCAGCCGGTGGACGTGGCGGTTTCCGAGGTGGCTTTGGGTCTCGTGGGGGTGATAGAGGCCGTGGCGGTCTCCGTGGACGTGGACGTGGTCGCGGCAGGGGCCGCGGACGTGGAAAGGAAGATCAGAAAGAATGGGTGCCGGTCACCAAACTCGGACGACTTGTTCGCGAGGGAAAGATCGACAAACTGGAAAGCATCTATCTGTTTTCGTTACCCATCAAAGAATTCGAAATCATTGACTTTTTCTTGGGTGCCTCGCTTAACGATGAAGTATTGAAGATCATGCCTGTTCAGAAGCAGACCCGTGCCGGTCAACGTACCCGATTCAAGGCATTCGTCGCTATAGGAGACAATAATGGCCACATTGGCCTTGGAGTGAAGTGCAGCAAAGAAGTAGCAACTGCAATTCGTGGTGCTATTATCCTTGCTAAACTCTCTGTTCTGCCTGTGCGAAGAGGTTACTGGGGTAACAAGATTGGAAAGCCACATACAGTGCCATGCAAGGTATATGCAAGCTATTTTTAGGTTATGAAATTCTATTTTAATGTATTTGATGATGATCAATTTTTATCTTTTCATTCGTGGTATCCACTTGAGGCTTGTCCGATGAAGCTTAGATGCGTCTGATTTTCTACAGTTTACCTTTTTGTAATATTTAAAATTTACATGAAATTTACAAATTTAATTAATTTACAGGTCACAGGAAAATGTGGTTCAGTTACTGTGAGACTGATTCCTGCTCCACGTGGTACTGGTATTGTGTCTGCACCAGTTCCTAAGAAGCTTCTTCAAATGGCTGGTGTTGAGGACTGTTACACATCTGCCCGTGGTTCAACTGGGACTCTTGGAAACTTTGCAAAGGCCACATATGCAGCTATTGCTAAGACCTATGCCTACTTGACACCAGACCTGTGGAGAGACATCCCCTTGACCAAGTCACCCTACTCCGAGTTTAAAGTCTAAAATTCTAAAATAAATGTTTTGACTTAATTCTGGTTTCTGTGTCTGTGTGTTTCTAAATCTTCATGTAACATAATAATTAGTTATATTTATGGTCTTAATAGGTATATTATATGTCCAACAGAAAGAATGAACATACTAGGGATGTGACATTCTGCATAAAAAAATCGATTTTTTATTAATCGATTATTTTTGTAGCATGAATAATCGATTTTTTCCTAATTTTTGAATTAATTTCAAAATAAACACCCTAAATATTTTAATTTCATAGTTTTTAAATTAAAAATAAACAATAGAAATTACAAACACAAATTAACGTTTAAGAATAATCACAATCGAAATTAACTTAATCTCGATTTGATAGATTTTGATAACTGCTGAGTGTATTCCTTTTCAGTAGCACATTGCAGTATTTTTGTTGTCTTTTAATTGTATGTAGTCTTGTGCTGCTGAATAAATTTATTTTACTTTTAAATTATAGTGTTCCATTCAAACTTGAGTTTTTGTAAAATTAACTGCTTTTATCATTTAAAGAAAAAACTGTTTGACCGGATTGAAGTTATGTATTATTATAAATTTACAACTATTTAACATAATTTTAAATTTATCCGACGTTTCGCGTGCTTTACAGCGTTGGTCAGACAGTAAGACAATACTATGCTTTTATCATCCTTATACAAAAAAATCAATGTATCGAGTATATCAATACATCTTCAAATAATCGGATTCAATGTATCGCATTGTAAACATCGTTGTGTATCGAATATCTCTAATAGTTCGAGGTCCGGGTTATAAAAGACCAGACATAATGTCGGGAGGTGGCAGATAAAAAATCGATTATGACTGATTTTCAATTATAAAAATAATCGATTATTTTAAATATAAAAATCGCGTAAAAAAATCGATTTTTACTTTTAAAAAAATCGATTTTAATCGATTATTTTTTCACATCCCTAGAACATACAAATATAAATTCTATTAGTTTTTTTTCTTCAAATGAATTGATCAATCATTCATGTGATTGAGTTTTAATATACATTCTGCTTTGGCTAAGTTGCAAAATTGTTAAGAACAAATTGCTGTAGGTATATTATAGACATGTGGACCTTTAGTAAGTCGTGTTGAGAGGGGCTGGAGTAAACCAACTAGTTGCACTAGTTCTATTGTTTTTCTTCAACTATTATATAGATAACATAATGGTTTATTCGCGACTAGACCTTTTTCAATAAACTAAAATTTACAGTACAATAAAACAGCTTTTACGCTTTTTGTTCTGAGACATACTACTTAAGGGGGAATCTCTCAATCATCAAAATAAAATTGATGTGATCAAGATCAGTCTCATACTGTTATGGCGCGTCTATACGGGTCATGTTTTGCTGCAATTGATGGCTGCACTGTTGGCCACTTATTGCCCGGCCATTACAAAAATATTTTAATGCAGCTGATGGCCGAACAATCTATGGCTGGGCAATGTGTTGCAATATGTCTGCAATAGTATGGCCCATGATGCAGACTCCTAAACGGGCTACACAAACCGGCAACAATGGCTGACGAAATCACACTTGTCGCAGCAGCTTATATTGTTTTAAAAAAGAAACAGAAAAAGAAGAGATTGTGGATTCGACCTTACTTAAATAGGCGTGAAACTGTAGACAATTTCAGTCTAGAAATATGCCTTGATAATAAATTATTCAAGAACTTTACTAAAATGTCAAAAGCAGTCATTTTTAAGTAGTAACCTAACGTCAAAATGCAGCTGATCGCAAAACACAGAAAATAGCAACAGGCACACTTCACTCATAGCAAACTTCATGTCGTGTAGAAAAGGATACACTGTGCCATAACAAAGAGAGTGACTGAAACAACAATAGAACTGGCTGTGCAATATTGCAGTTGAATTCGATAGCCTAGCGATCGTCCGGCCACCCATCGGGGCAACATCGGCCATATGTGGCTATACAAAACATGTTTGGCTATATGGCCGGGGCATTACTGCAATATTGCATAGTGTGGCTGCTATTGTTTGCAATGTTGCCGGCCACAGTGTTGCAGCCATCAATTGCAGCAAAACATGGCCCGTTTAGAAGCGCCATTACATAGCTTACTTGAATACATTACAGTTGTAATGAGGCCGCATTATGCAATTCATATGTTGAGATTTGAGCATTTACAAATAAGATTAATCTAGCATATACATTATACATACTTTTCACCAGTGGCATCTCAAAAAAAGTTTGCTATGTTATGTTAAAGTAATCTTCCTAAATTTTAATAGATGTGGCTGATGAATTAAAACTTGGATGTGTTAAAAGTAATAAACATAGTTATGTTTTGTTAAATTCTTTTACTTCTCTTTCAAATAAATTTAAGGTGTGATCACAGAGCCTTTGTAAATCTTTAAGACCTCTTTTTAGGACTTCTAAAGCTGGGGTGTCATGTGTTTGTATCCTGAAGTGTATTTTAGACTCAGCAGGATGAGGTAATGTATATCCACAGAATTGAACATCGTCACTGAAAAAAAAAAATGTTATATATACATATTCATTAATTAATTTCATAATACTTACTTAATTATATTTATACTTACTATCTATCAACTATGCATTTTAAAGCATTTCCTAATGTATGAGTTTCATTTTGAATAACATAGGTACGACATGTTAGACCAGAATCTTCATCACCAGGCAGCTGTAAAAGGAAAAATTATTTCTTTGCAACTAGATATTCGGTACGATCAGATCAATAACTTGCCTTTCTTCACTAGGACCGAAGGTTTGCTGCCCAAATGATTGATGAGTACACTACTCAGTTTTTAGATTTAGAAAAAAATATAACAGTACCTGTATATTTAGACATATTAGAACCGGGATCAATTTTTTACCGTAAATAACAAATAAATGTGAAGTATTAAGTTTCAAATTCGAAGTATGGAGTAAATATGTTTTATTAACCTAACACATGCTAGATTCCAGTAAATATAAAGATATTTCAATGCTCAATTTACCTCTGAAATTTTCATCATGTAACGCACTTGTACTAAATATAATTTAATTCCTGAAATAAGTCAATCACGCAGTAATAGTTTTAAAATTAGTTTGTAATTAAAAAATACAAAACACATTAAAACTTGTATAAACTATAAAGTATAAATTAATAAATACATTTTGATTTGTTTTGACGTACAACTTTCTGACAATTGACAGCTAGACATTATGATTAATGGTTATAAATAATCGTTGAAAATATAATTCGAATATCGAAATACCATAGACTGTAGTGCGGAAATTGTTAATTATTATAATTTGTATTAATTAACTAAATCCAATCTGAAAATCAATATAAGCATATATATATATAGTTTGGAAATTCGCAAAAAGATGGCACTTCCTACAATTTCCATGAAATTCATTTTAAGTTTTTAGATCATAATTGACTATTGTAGGTAAGATGGCGCTGTCATCAATTTGACAGTTTTCGTCGTGATTCTTGTGTCCGTAAAGCCCGTCACAGACTTAGCTATAATATATATTAATATTTTTATGGCTAGGCATATTACTATATATTTTCTATACTAATTTTGGCGTGACCGCACACTCAGCTATAATACATATTTCTGTGACGTCACCAAGCGATACCGTAATATAACATTATTGCATATTACTATATATTATGGCATAGCAAGACATATTCCCACATATTTTGAATGTACAGCGTGTTTCGATCCCCGCACACCTTTTTTTCTTTTTTATGTCATTTTTTATCAATTCATGTAGCTCTAGAAATGACGATCTTGAACTTCTAAAATATTGGGCAAATTTTTTTGAGGATAACTCTAGTTCTAGTTTTTGTGCCTGACCGGGCAACTAACATACCGAAAGCAGCGGCGGAATCGTCTTCTGAAGAACTGTCTATTAAGTCCATTAACAATGTACTTGTTGAATTCATAATTACTGTTAGTATTTTGAAATAAAAACACCCTTAATTACAAAATACGTGCGAACACTAGGACGACCATCAATTAAATGAAGGCAAAATATATATTTCTCAGTGTGTGGTAGCTTGCTATAATATATATTATAGTACGGTATATTAATATATATTATAGCTAAGTCTGTGACGGGCATAATCTGCGTCATTTTATATAAATTAATTTTCATACAGAGTCAATTTATTAAGTTGTCTATTATTAAGATTAGAACAAAAGTGTTTTTTAACTTCCTACCTAACGGATGCTTTTGGTTCTTATAAAACATTCAATATTTAGCTGTTGAAACACAACCAAATTATTTTTAGGTAGGTATACTATACAATAAAAGCGTTTATTAATAATTGTGAGTGATGTTTCTTTAAAGAAGCTGTCACCAGTACCAAAGTAACAAATAACCTCTAATAAAAAGCAATAATCTCTTGTTAAAGTTATCCAAGCAAAATAAAACGGCTAATACATTTCTTTAGTATACCTACCATATTATACCTATTGTAAAGTATATATTTTTTAGTCGCAGATCCAGAGTAATAGTTGTTAGACTAAAATCATTATGTTTCTTAATTAAATTTATATTATATTAAATTTATTATTATTTAAGAGTAAAAGAAAACACATAATTATATAAGCGCTATAATGCAAGCTGCCTTTGGTTCAGATTTCTGTACCTATCTTCTTTTCTGTACATCCATTCAAACGGTAGAGTTGAGGGAAGCAGGCTAGCTAACAGCAACGCTGATTTTATCATAGATAAGATACCCTATATCTTGGTCTTTAATCTTATTTACGCCCTTTTCTCACTAATTTATTACCTGTTTTAATTATTTTAATTAAAATTCCTCTTAGGCTTATTCTTACTTATTTAAATTAGAAGTAATCATTAATTTACTTATATGTATATGCTTATTGGTTGACATTTTATAAGGAATAAATCCTGTTTTAATAATATGGCCTAATTATGGCGGGAATAGTATGTAAAATTAGTAGGTTTAGTTTCAGTCAATATGAACATTGAAGATATGAAATTGTAGTATAAATAATTAAAATTAATGGTAAACTAATAAACTTTTCATATTCAACGCTTTAGTATCATTTTCAAAAGAAGCATTAATTAAGATAAGGGTTTTAATAGTATTGGAACAATAACGAAAAGGGATAGTTTCCTTTGTTCCACTTTTGTTATTACTCGATGTGTGATATATACTCGTACTCTGTGTATATAGATATTTATATCTTTAGCTATAATTGAGTTTCCTTTAAAACTGGCCACTGGCCCTCATAAGTCATCATCTTTCTATGCCTTCTGATCATAAATGACAGTATTTAGTGAAAAGAAACCCGTTTCACCTCTGCACAAATGCGAAGCTAGAATTAAAGCGACTCATGGCCATGTGTAATACTTTTTCAGAATCCCTATTAGATGCGCCAAAACTTGTAATACAGGGTCACTTTTCAGTAGAGTAATTTATTTTCACAGTGGGGTCCGAAGTAAACAAAAAGTTATGATTTGAAAAACATTTATATTGTATAACTTAATATTATCTTCAATACACTCAATAAACACCTATAAGTAGTATGTCTAATGCAAGAACTCATCAGTACCAATCTAGTGGATATTATGAAAAAGATACAGGATGTAGATTTTTTCGAATTTTAATAAGAATTAGTAAAAAAAGTCAATTTTCTTGTAAAAACGCTAAAAAAATTATAACTATGCAGGGGTTGAGCTTAGAGACCTCCCGTAGAACAATTTTTTGCAGCTGATGACCTCATCTATCCCCTATTTGCGTTTGATCCACGACTTTTTGACCATCCTGTATACTTGTATGTTAGCACGGTGACCATGCAGATGATTAGCTTAATGACTATAGTTGAGTAAGTATTAATTAATACTTCATCATAATTAGTAAAATTTGGTCAAAGCACTAAATCATTCAGCGCAGCATTAGTAGAAGTAACCGGTAATGACAGCTAACTTCCGGCGAGAAAAGAAGAAAAGTAATCATTATATTAGTGACGCAAACATCTACAGTATGTTCCCCTTAGGACCAAGCTTTAAATATCGATTAAAACCCCTAAAGTTTTTGTTGTACACTCGGTAATTTCAAATATGCACAAAAAATACATTCAAATAGAAATTTCCACCTCGGAGTACCTATTATAGTTTCTTGATATTTTATGAAGTTTATATTTGGTTTAGTTTGTTGGTTGGGTTTTAGGCTTAATGTAAATTGTATAGAATCGTGCGTCTTTTAAGAAAAAATCTTGCATAAAGTACTAAATAAATGTACCTCCTAAAAACTCACCATCTTGATTCTTCCTAAATTTGGGGAGAAAACCCTGAAGTTGGTATAACTGGATTATATGTAAAAGAAATACGAAAATTATGAGTTTAAGAGTGTTTTATTACGCACTAATTTTTTGATCGTTGATGGTGGCATGAATTATTATTAATTTCAATAATAATTGTTACGTTTTATGATATAATTAATACCTTTAGCGTTCTAGACGTGCGTATCACAAAACTAAGCCCGTTTAATGCTTATTATAAACCTGGATAAACTCACACTCGGATGCGTAAATCGTTAAAGTTAACGGTGTACATAAACACTACAATGTAAGGTAGGGCCTTTTATTAAGTCGACCTCCGAGTTTACCTGACGCTAAACCACACCTATAATGTCAGGGATTCCATCAACTTGACACAATATGAAACAAACATGTACCTTTTAATTAAGATTAACATGCTATGTACAGTCGGGCACGAAAGTATGTATTTAATCAAAAGGTTTAAGTTTGCAAACATCTTGAGATAGAAACTGGTGTATTTGAGATTAAGATATACTATGCGTATTTGATCTTATTTATAAAAATATATACTTTCATACATATAAAGCGGTAAATACGACATACAATTATATACATACATTAAGCTGTTGCGTGAAATTCGACATCGTTTTGAACACATATTTAGAATTGATTGTCGTTTTTGAAGTATTTCTAAATAATATTATTTATGAGGGTCCCGGAACAACAAGTATTTATCGTAAGTAATTACATGTTATCACGAATAAAAACTTTCAAATATGGCTAACTGTTTTAAAAATGTAGATTGATGTGTATCTCATTGCTGTTTCAACTTGTATCATCTCTCTTTTACAATGAAAATGAATAACAAGAACAAGGTACACGTAAACATACTTCTCGAGTCTGTGTGAAAAGAGAACTGTCGTAAGATTTGACATCGCGGCAGTGCTAAATAACTTTATTTTGTTTAGTTGACATTTCTGTTACGTCATTATAGATCGACAAAACCATCTTGATGCTTAATATGAAAAGTTTATAACTAACTAAGGTACCTATATAACTTTTGTGAAAAAGTGAAATTACGTCTAGCAAGGCGGTCTCATAACCGCCTCGCCGCTTTTCTTTCCACACATACTCTGATCATACTTTTCTTGTATATTTTTCATATACGAAAACTACAGGCTTGATAAACCACGTAAACCGTGTCAATAACTTGTATCCTATTAACATCGCTAGACGTAAAACTACTAACAAAGCCCAAAAGTTTTGCTAAAATATGACAACCCATGTTGACAGTATTCGGCAAAATCTGTATCTAAAATTTTGTATGACTTTTATGACAATCCGTAACTTTTCTGTGTTTATATTGTACAAATATGATATCAATTGTTTAAGTTTCATTTATACACATTTATTTGTTCCGATATTTCGCGCACTTTACAGTCTATGATTGTCCAGTTGACGGTTGACATGTTAATTGTCAATTTGATAAATAGTTAATATCATTATCATGCATGAAAGAATAAGAAATATTAACTGTTATACTTGCGATAGGCAACAGATGATGTTAAGGTATATATTTATTATTATGGTCTCGGGAATTTAAATATACATAAATGTTAGTCCATATAAAAACATGGCACGTAAATATAACATCCACCATGCGTAAGTGATAAGCATTTTCATGAAAGTGATTTTATATCTTCTTCACTTTCATTTTACGTTAATAGGCCTCGAATGCTACATCAGCTTGATCGTAAACTTGGTATTAAACGTTACTGGATCTGGCTTTATCCATTATTTTTCGTTTAATGAGTCCTAACGTTCTGAAATCTGCATTTGATATCTCTTAGATTATTTAGCTTCTTTGTAGTATATTAAAAAAAAGGCATTAGACATCAGATTACATGTAGGATTTTGTTAAGTTACCAAAAAAAATTTTTTTTATAAAGTATAAACATAAAGTGATTTTTAGTTACCACCACCCGATTCGGAATGTGATATTTATAAAGAAAAAGCGACTAGAAAGTTTAAAGATTTTGAAATGCTAATATAGTATATATATAAAAAATAGTGATAAATCCTTAAGTTAATGAAATACGATTTTTATTATAAAATAAAGATTAACGATTTGATTAAAACGGACATTGGGGCTTTATTAAAAGCGGAAACATTTAAGGGTGATTTAATTAACGACGGATATTCGTAAAATTTGCAAATCGAATGTTCAAATTAAAACAGCGAAAGAGTTTTTATTATATAGAAATAAAAAGGATTCCAAATTTAAAAAAACGATGAGCGAAATATATTCTAATTAAGACGTGTCATTCGTGACTGCGAAGAATTTGTGTTCGTTCGTCAAAGGTGCTATAAAATTTGAATGGAATTTTATAAATGGGGCCTGGGACGGTTTTCATGCTTATCATCCAACCCTTTTTATGGTAATTATTATACTTCATGTCATTTACAATGAGCTTAAAGGGTATTCCGTTTTACGCCAACCATTTGGTAAAGCGAATTATGTACAAATATGTAGGCTGTATTTAATGAAATATCATGATTAAAGAATATTTATGATAAATTTCACTTTCATGTTTAAAGTTCTCTTAAATGCCTTAATTGAATACTCAGTGCCGTTATCATTGTTTGAATAGAAATTGTAGAAAGAAAACTCGAGACAATTTTAGCTTGAAAATACGTTACTTGTCAACATATCAGTTTTCACGGGATATAAACACCATCAACATCACCATCACCATTAACTTACTATGTAATTACCATAATATCGTTATACCTATTAATTGGTTATCTCAAGTAATGATAAGCAAAATTTTGTTTTTATTCTATGGCGATAACTTTACTTATATACATAGGTAATAATATACCTTTTAATAATGGTTCTAGCGGACATACGTTGTCTTGTACACACGTCTTAGATATAAAACACCATCAACAACGTCGAATCCACTTGAACAGGTACAAAAACTTTAGGAAGAGTTATATTACACAGAGTTATAACACACCTGGTATATTTCCATGGCTAGGATGTAGACCTTCCACGACAATGTCCAAGCCGTGCCAGATTCTTTTACTTCCTTTACCATGGATCAAGTAATAATTGCTAATAAAAACACCAAACCCAGAACCTTATGGTTGGAAATTGAATTTACTATTTATATACAATGCCTACGTATACAATATACAACTAATATAATATATTACAAGGCTGCACAAGACTGTCGCTGCTTATAAGTCCGAGAGAGAACTTGTAATTTAATAAGTACATTTTATTGATTACTAACTTGGTCTCGACTGGAAACTTGGAACTGACTGTTACTGAATAGATCAGACAGTAGACAGACAGCAACTCTCATATATATGAAATTACTTTGGTTCGAGAAATATATTATCTGTAGTATCTATATCTGCCCCGAATTACGAGTTCGTAATTCGAATTAAAAAAACGAAGAAGGTTTTATTAAATCTGAAATAAAAAGTATTCCAAATTAAAAAAAAAAGACGTCTCTTTGATCTGGCGTGTGTGCTTGACTGCGATAACAATAAATAAATGAAAAACATGATATTGTCAAAATAACCTTTCTTTATTGTTTTTTTGACAGGTTATAAAATAGATGGTTTCGCAGGTTTTCATAAAATCGCGGTTAGCGAGAGATATGTTATGGTGTAATTTTCTCGAAAAAGTTGTAATAATATTGATATATAGGTATATATGTATATCAATATGCTTATTTTTGGCGCCGGGTAAACGATACGTCGTGAAATTAGAACCGTAGCGCCTCTTTTTATTATATTTGTAATATTAAAAAAAAAAAATTAAGAATGTCTAGTCTCCTTTATTTATTAGGTTGGGGAAAAAGTCTTTTCGCATTATACTATGTATGAACTTGTAATAAAATCTCTTTGGCTATACTATATGTATTTGCCTGTTTTTGTTATCATTGAAAGTTGAGATTTTAAAGAAGATAATTCCAAATTCATATTAGGATAATGTGTGATTTTTATTTATTTTTCGTACCGTCAAGATAAGTGAATCTAATGAATAAATTCGATAAATTTTAAAATGTTACTACAAAAAAGGTAAAAATGCAACGCAAGCCGCGAAAAAAATTTGCGATGTTTATGGACCTAGTGCCGTGTCTGTGAGAGTAGCACAAATTTGGGTTAAGTTTTTTCAATTTTTTTTTGACCATCGATTCTGAACTCTACTGCGAAACACAAACGACGATGAGATTAAAGCAAGGAGTTGAGAGAAAGCGGCCGGAATTAATCAACAGAAGGGGTGTGGTTTTTCATCAAGATAACGCTAGACCTCACACATCTTTAGCCACTCAGCAAAAATTAAGAGAGCTTGGCTGGGAGGTGTTAATTCATCCGACGTATAGACCTGACCTTGCACCTTCAGATTTCCACCTGTTTCGGTCTTTCCAGAATTCTTTAGGCAGTGTCAGGTTAACATCACGAGAGGACTGCCAAAACCAATTGTCGCAGTATTTTGTTAAGTTATCGAACAAAATGGTACCTACTTACTTTAGTTAAATGTAAATAAACTATATTAAAAATTTTGTGAGTTTCCTTGAAAAATGCGAAAAAACTTTTTCCACAACCTATTATTAATATATTTTGATATGCCACACGCATCAAAATAAATTTAGGTTGTTATAAATATATTTATATTCGAAATTAATTAATATTAAAACGACTTTGTACATTTAATTTTATTATTTCGCGGAATGAGGTTTTAAGTAAATTTGTTAAAGTACTTAAATAAACTTTTCCGTTTCAAACCTATATAATAAGATGTTTTTTAAAATTGTCATTAAAGCCGGTAAAACTTAAGGTTACAAAACCTATATTGGTTCGACGTAGCGTATCGGGTGCCACATGATTAAACAAGACTACTTTTTTACGTTTTATATGAGAAACTGACAGTTGACGTCAGTGTCAGTCAGTGGAGACAATCCGCTCCAGATGCTGCTTTGCTGACCACCACGCTTTGGTGAGATTCTTGTGCTCGATCCCTGGCTGGTAGCCGATGAATTTTAGAAATAATAAATATATTTGTAAGGCTTCTTGTCAAAAGAAAACAATGAAATATATGTGTCTACGCTCCATTATTGTATTACAAACAGAAATGGTACAAATTGAAAGGTTTTTGTTGTGAATTTTGTTTATATTGTAAAAATTAAATGAAATCAACAATGTTGTATTTGAAATTGTACAAATTGGTAAGGGCGAAATAGGTTTCCGGGTATAGGGAAATCGAGGTTGCTGTTTATTTTCCTGCAATATATTGTTTGTGCCAACGCCTTTCAATCTTAGTAGCTTTAGTTCCTGTGGGAATTACTTGGAATAGGACTTAAGGTAAGCGGTTTTCCATGTAATATTTCTCATACTCTGAGTTAATTACATACAGATACATACATACATAGAATAGTTCATATTTATTTATCTGTTTATTTTAAATAGTCCTGGTAAAAAAAATTACGTATTTTTTTACCAGGACAGTAGGACTTACGAGGTGCAAAGAGGTATCACATGGTGAGCTTTCCGCCAGAAACTGGAACCATAATAAATGTAAACAATTTGCTTGTCTATTTCAAAACTAAGTTGTTCCGTTTTTAAAAACTTATCGTTAATACAAGCTACAGTAGCTAAAAAACCTATATGTATTCGTAAAGTAACGACATAGATATTAGCCAAAAATATTGCGTACACCTGCGATTTTCAGTTCCCACAAATTATAATTCAAAGAGCAGTGTCAGTGAAGCAGCTACACGCGGTTTTCAATCTTGAGATTTCTGAACGAAACCAGCAAGGTAATCGACATGTGGTCGCGAAAAAAATCTACATGTGGTATAGAAAGACTAAATGCATACATAAAGCTTACTATTAGCTTAACACTAATGTTATCTATCAAAATCGAACAGCGGAGGTTCAGCGCTACTCGACTATTTTTAATACTAAAATAGTAACCCAAATGTTAATTTCTTAAGTCGAGATTTTGTACAACGATTTAAAGCGAACAAAACTCTCAGTATTTCGGCATAATTTCAACCCTTTCGTATTTAACTTTACGGAGAATTTAAATCGAAATTATTCAAAGCCATTTATAAAGTTTATCAATAACGAAATGCCAACAAAAATATGTTTTAACTTCTTGAATTGAATAAAATTAGCTAATCCTTTAAGCAAATGCCAAAGGTATTCATTTTAAGGTAATTTTATAATAAACATCCTCTAAAAGGTCTGAAATTTGTTATAAAAATCTGAGATGATTATTCAGCCGTACTCAGAGCCGATTATTTAAAAAAAAAAAAATTCTGCTTTTATAATCGGACCTCTTTGCAGTTTTTACATAATTATGATCGAATTACCATTAGTAAAACGTTATTTTAAGTATGGCTGTTATTTGTGTGTGAGTGCTTGGATATGCACATGTTCTCACATAGCAGTAATAAATAATCTTCTCAAAGTAGGGCGAGTTCTTGAACATGTCTAACTATTTAATACGCATTTTTCTATTATTAATTTGAATTTTACGATAGATTTATGAGATTAATTTTCAAATAGTCACGTGTAACTTGAAGGTTTGTTATGAGTGAGATATCATTGAAATTATCGTAGACAAATCTTTTAAAAAATCGTTACTTTTTCATGCTTTAGTTAGTGTTTCTTATTTTATGTAGGTCATTTTGATTGCTTAATAATGACGTAAAAATATGGCTTAAATTATCCTTAAATTGATCCTGTAGATGTCATGTTTAATAAGCCATTGAATCCAGCATTAGTTAACTAGCTATCCACGACGTCTTGACCCTATCAAACTAGAAGTTATTATAAAGTAATTCTGGTCCGAAATACCCATCAATATAGTATTGACGAAGTTGCAGACAACTTTAATTGGATCCTGACTTCTCGCGCCCTCGGGTCACGCCAAACTTACAACTTGAGAAATGTATCCGAAAACTTTTAATGTAATTTCTACGTTTTTGTAACATTTATTTTAGACAAACAAATGAAGGAAATAAATTTTCTCGCAAATTTACTACATTTTCCTGAGATAGATGTTACAAAAAATCTTAAATTTAAATACTTAAATGTAAAACAGTAAAAAATCTTCTGAAGTAAATTTAATAATTTGTAAAATTTTCTGTTCTGTCTATGAACCATTGTTAGCACCTAGTAGTAAATCATAAATATTCAAAAACAAACCTCAATGATAATACTACATTAAAAAAACAATGTAAAATGTTTAAACTGTGGCACAGTTTTAGGGCATGCGCCGTGCGCGATGTTGTGTTAAGTTTTGGCGCAAATCATAGATAAATCTTTTGTAATTTATTCAAGTCTATGGTTTGTTGTACTTACGAAGTTTTATAATCCTTAGTTTACTACATCAGTCAAAGGAACCTAAAAAGGAAAAGTGGTAAAATGATTCCTAGATAAGCGAAATATGAGATTATTGAATAAAATCAACATTAAATAAAAAATTAACCTGAACTATTTAGCAATTATGCTAAAGTAGTTCAACTAAAACGTTTAAGTAGAAATTCTCAACACGTTCTATATTTATTGCTGTTTAAATACTAAATGGAACTAAGTTTGCGTTTAATGATAATTGCCTATATGAAACTTTAAAAGTTGCCTATATTTGCCTTGCCTATATTTAAAGCACCTACTTTTGCTTGCAATGCATGTTCTACTTTCATTAAATTATTTTTTAAATTTCTATTCACTATATATGACATTTCAGAAAATGCTTATAATGATTAACTTGCTTCAGTTTTGAGTACAGTTTTAAGTGTTAGGTTAGGTTAGCGCTGTGGATCATTCTGCTCCTCAGCATAATGCTGAGCCAGGGCCTTTTATTTTTATTTTTTTATTGTTTTTGATATCTCTCATTTTCTTTTCTCTTTGATTATTGTTATTTTGTGTGTTTATATGTGTGTGTTTTTGTTTGTAATAAATGTCTATGTTTAGTCCGTATACTTGAACGTAAATCAAATCTAGCATCAAGAGCACTCAAAGCATTTTTACAACTCAAGTGGAGAATGTGAACTGAGTTCGTTGTGAACGCATTGTA